ACTTGTATAGGGTGGTCACTGTCATCTTATCTTACATCCTTTACGTAATTGAGAAGAGGATTAAAATGATCAACTTTTCTATAGCTAATTGGTCATATTTTCTATTCATTACCATCCATGACCAAACTCAACAAATCTGTGTGTGCGCGCGCGCACACACTATCAATTGCTTAATCTTTTTTAGGAAAATCCACTCATCTTTTTGTAGCACATATACTAGTTTAGCTAAATATCATGTTCATATATATTTGACCTTAATATTTTGATTTTTTTTAAAAAAATTATGAAACAAATATATTCACGTCCTTCACCAACAACCATATTGTTCAACAAAATATAAATCCCAAATAAACTGCAAAAATTATATTTTTCTTATTAAATAATATTAGGGTTAGAGATTTTCCATGTACAGTAGGCAACCTTTATTTGAGCAACACTCACACACTTAACCCCATATCCTCACCTATATATACCCCCTTGTATTCTTGTATTAACATCACAGTAATACATTGTATTTCTTCTCTCTTTATACTATTAACATTTCTATTTATTTTTAAACACAAAAAAATAAAAAAATAAAAAGATAAGTTAGTTCATGTAAAGCACCACCATCATCTTGTTCTTTATTTTATTTATTTATTTTCTTAATTTGTTCATATTTCAGTTAGTGTATCATCTAAAGGCTGAATTGTTTTTCCATTGTAATAGGGAAAAAGGTGCAGAGAGGTCCCTTAGGTTCCGTTTGGCATGCATTTTTTTCTACTGTTTTTGCTTTTGGGCTGCTATAGTATCGATTTTGGCAACAAAAACATGTTTAGTGCGGCCTTGTTTTATTTTATACAGTGTTAAAACATTTCATGAATAGTGGCTCAAAACCAAAACACTAAAAAATTATTTTTTCTTATTTTGACAATTTATTTATAGCCCAAAATCATAACAGTAGCACAACATAGGTCAAAAACAAAACACCTAAGTTCCCAAACGTGCTTCCAATTCTTTCTAAAACACCCCTATAACAAAAACACTGTTTCTATTTTAACAAAAAATAAAACGCATGAGAAACGGACCCTTAGGTTCATTGAATATGGTCAGCCCTTTGCCCCTAAAATTAACAACCCTAGATTGATCTCATTATTCCTATTTAACCCCTTTATACCAAAAGCTAGAGGTTTAAAACATAGATGAAAAGGCTCACTTTTTTTTAGTCAACTTCAGAATATCATCATTATATGTGCTTCCATTCACCATGTGGACAATGGCATATAAACTTTAATTCCCCTACACAAGACTTTCAAGGGCACATTTGGATGTCTCCTCATAAATAAAACAATCCATTGTTACATGCCCTGCCACAAACCAATTGAAATGATTTTATTTTTACTATATGCAGTGCAAGATACCATGAAATTGCACCATTTATGGTTTTCAAAACAAATATATATGGTGATGATCTTTCATATTTTCTCCCCCTTTTTTTCCTATATTCATGAAAATATTGGCTATGATCCTTACTAAATTATTTGTGTAACTGCACGCAGATGAGATAAACACTTGATCCTATCTACTTCATCAAATAGATAAAAACGATTAAGTGCACTTAATCGGTGTAAAAAATAATTCCAAATAGCATTTTTCTATTTGGAAATGTTTGTTGCTAAAGCTAACTACTATATATGCCTTAACCATATTATCTAATCCTAATACTACCCTATATGTATGTATATTCTTATTAAATTACTTAACATTCTCCTAATAATGGAGTCATGCTAAAACACATACACATGAAGGGTTTGCAAATAAGCTGAGTTTTCGATGAACAGCGGGCTTAACTCACTAAGAGTTCTGTTCGTATTCGTTTGATTAATAAATTAATCGAAACTAAATAAGTTTTAGGTAATTGATTAATAAAACTAAATAAGTTTTAGATATTGATTAATAAATGAGCCAATCTCAAATACTACCATTTCAATTTGTTAGTCTATGAACAAACTCGTTGATATGCCCGTGTTCATTTGATTAATAAACAAACCGAAACCAAATAAGTTTTAAATATTTGATTAATAAACGAGTCAATCTCAAATATTACCCATCTCAACTTGTTAGTATGTGAACAAACTCGTTGATATGCTCGTGAATATATATAATTATATATAGAAAATGTTCACAGGCTAATGGTCTAGCGGTACCAAGTCTCTACTTCTCAAAGAGAGATTAGGAGTTCGAGTCTCAGTGGAGGCATGTGTGTGTGAGTACCAACTAGGAAAAAAAAAATGTTCACCTGTTCACGAGTGTGGAAAGAAGAATTTATTCATGAATTAAATCCCATGCTCCTAATACTTAGAATCATGCTACATATTTTGTTGTATAATTGGGAGCAAGTGAACATTTAACTAGATATATAAATATACAATTTTATAACCACGGATTCAAGCCCATAAATAAAGTTTTCTGTAGACAATTTGTTTTCTTTTTATATTCATAGAAAAACAGCCCAAAGTCCAAACTAGTCCAACCCAACCATTTTTATTTATTTTGCCCATTTTAAACTAAAACAGTCCATGCCCATCTAACTATCAGGCCCGTAGCCCATTTTGCAACTCCTAATCTTCTTCAGAGACACTCACGGACCAAAAAGGAGACCTTTCTCCCTAATAAGAAAGGATAAGTTAGTCAATTTTTCGTGTATTAAGACAAATTGAAAGTTTTCATATCTGTCCATTAAGTAGGGATACCACCTATACAATACGTCTATGTATTATAGACTTTTTCATTTAGTCTTATGGTAAGAGAAAGTAAACAATACTATGGGGCATTTACGGTGTGTATCTCCAACTAATGCATAGTCATTCTTTCTCCTATGTTATATGGACTATTCAAAGTAGGTGAAGTACCCGTCAAATACATGATACTAGGGTGTAGGTGTGCTTATGGGATATGTGTACATCATTTTTGGTTGAACAGCACCAAAAAAATCATTTCATATAGTAATTCAATTTTATTATATTAGTGTTTCAAAATGAGTGAAATGTCTATTTTGACCACTATTACAAAAAACACATTTTTTTACTCTAAAAAATAAAATAAAAAATAAAAATATTAAATAACTCTCCCTTCATCTCAAAATTCTTGGGCCTCTTTGTAACTTTAAGTATTTAATGTTTTGTACCCTTTTAAAATTGCAAAACTACTTAAAAGTAGTGTTTGATGTGGATAAATTTATAAAAAGTTGAGGATATTATAGGAAGTAAATTACTTTTTTTCTATTGGGGGATAAGAATTTTGGGACATCCAAAAATGAAAAAAGGCTAAGAATTTTGGAACAGAGGGAGTATGATTTTTTTTTTTAGCAATGTTTTATGTGAAGCTATTTAGGAATTTGATATGTCCATCGCACCTGACATGCGTACCCGAGTCCGTGTAACAAAATTCAGTCTGGTTTTAGGGTTTATAGCTTTTCTTATGGCCTCTGACTCATGACATTCATTGGCTATTTTTTTTTAAGAAAGAAAAAAATAAAGATAAGGTAGTTCATAGAAAGCACCAGCATACTGTTCTTTATTTTTTTATTCAGAAAGTGATTGTGTTGTTCAACGTGTTGATACTGAATTTTGGCTGGTTTAAGAATTTTGATGTTTCTGTCCCCGATTTAAACGCGTACATCATTAGGGTTCTTTGTGAAGAATATATGCTTGTTACATGATCTATATGTATTATGTTGGGAAGAAAAGAGTTTGTGTGTGCAAATTAAATTTTTGAAAACATTGTTGTGTAACACTGATCTTGCTAGACTAAAAAGAATGAGCACATTCAGTAAATCAGATTCTCTATGTGGTGTGGGGCATTTTATCTGTTTACATTACTAGGGTTCAATTGTATCTATCTGTTTGTAGATCCAGGAAAAGAGAAAAATCAATGGTATTCTTGCCCCTGTTTTGTTCAGTGGCTCAGTTAGTAGTCAACGGCTACGTGTAGATCACTGGTGCAACATACTATATCGTAGTGCAACAGATATTGTTACATAATAGCAGAAGCGATATAATATAATTTTACATGTAAATTACTGGTGCAACACATTATATCGTAGTGCAACTGATATTGTTGCATAACACGATATAATATAATTGCTGCATAAGCAATGTAATGATACAGAACGTGACAGGAGATGAAAGTGCACATTCCAACTGCCCCACTTGTCCATTTAATTGATCATGCTGTTGTTTAAATCATATTAGTGAAAGAATGAAAAGAAATAATTAGCAGCATATTTATTGGTAAGGGCATAATCAATGTCCCAATGTCATCACTCTATGCCAAAAGCTTAGATGAAAAACGATGAGAAGGCTCACTTTTGTGAGTCAACTTTAGAATATCATCATAATGCTTCCATTCACTATGTGGATATTTAAGGCACATTTGGATGCCTCCATGACTCGGCACAAACCAATTGAAATGATTTTATTTTTTTCCATATATGCAAATTATGACACCATAAAATTGCACCATTTGAGCTTTTCAAAACCAATTATGTTGATGGTTTTTCATCTCTTCTTCTCGTCATGGGCAACCATTATTTGTGTACAATACTTAACACTTTGTCCGATTGACAATTACAGTTACTTTGTATTTTTATTTTAATTCGAAACAAAAGTACTATTTCTACTTCAGAGTATGTTCAACACTACTTCAAAATTTGTTTGATAACGTAAATTTGTTACAAAATTTTTGGAAGCAAAAACATGGAAACATGAGTGTTGCAAATTTGAAAAATTAAATGACTAATTAAAAATGTTAATTTAGAAAAAAAAAAAAAAAAATTAACATACTTTACTACAATGCTAAAGCAAACAAGCATCATTTTAATACTCCCAATTTTCGCATAAATTTAACGTTACTAAACATACTTCATGCTTTTACATTGCTACCGTACACTAGTAAAAGCAAAAAATACGAAACAAAAACATGAGCTAAACAGGCCCTCAATCTGCAATTTCTACTGACAGTAGTGTGGAAACATTTGCATATCTCAACATCATCTGAATTTCTAAATGAACAGAAAATCAATCATAGCTTCAAGTTAACAATATCTTAACCACACACACTCCCCACCAACTCACACACACTAACACACAGACAGGAGAGAATTTCATACTCGCGACTTCTCAAAAATGGATTGTTATCCCCCAACTATATAAATACACTAGTAACACAAAAATCAATAAACAAAAATTAAGAAGCTAACACATTCTAACTGGGGAAGAAGGTTATTAAATAAAATAACAGCACAAAGAGAACGACGCACAACCTCTCTCGTCAAAAAAATTCCGACTGAGTTGCAGTTTCTTTGAATCCATGCAATCTCTGCAGCAGCAAATGAGATGTAAAACTCCATCCCTCGTTCAAGATTAACAGAGCTAGATTTCGCGAAGGGTCAAATCATCGGTTCTTCTGCGACAGCTCCTTTGAAGCACTACTTATACATATCAGAACCATTATTACAAGCTTCTCCTGCGTATCAAAGTCAACAAGGGGGTCCTGGATTCTCTGCGATAAAAAGAGAGATCAGTCACCTTTAATATCCTCTCACTTGGGCTTGCAAGCTTCAGACAGTTGACACCTAACAAAGAGGATTTGCAGGACATAAGTGTTTTGGGTGGTAGGGTAACATTCACCAACCAAAGTTCACTGTGTCCTCACAAAATTTGTCTCTAAAACCCTATTCAATGAATACTTTGGATGGGAAAGATCAGTTTCTCCAACCATTCACAAAACCGACATCCAAACTTCAAATGCAAGGCTCCTATCATTTAACTTGCATGATACTGTTTGTCTTCGCGGTCACTATTGAGTAGACTCTCTAGCATCGGTCCCCAAATCAACTGGACCACAGGAATCAACCCTGTCACTCTGATACTCAAACGATGTGCACGAGTCATCTTGAATATCGTGATCAGCCCCGTCATTGCTAAAAATCTTACTGGAATTCTGAAAGACAGGACCAGTGCCACAATCATCAACAAAATTACCTGTAAATGCTTCAAAAACATCATCTATAGCTCCCTCGTCCTCTTCACCTGTTACAACTCTGTGAGTTACAAAATCAGAACCGATTTTATAAGTATCTGCTTCATCCTCGTTCTCAACGCCTTCAACACAAAACTCTTCATGATTCTCCTGATCATAAACAAAAGCATCTTGATCAGCCAGAGATTCAACTGCGGAGTCGTCGTCCTCCTCTGTCATTCCAAGCTCACTTCTTTGAACCTCATCATTGTCACTGTCGATGTTTAGTGGGTCAAATCTGTTCTGCTCAGCCCGTTTCCGAAGCATAAAAACATTGAAATAATAACTGACAAGATCCTTCCTTTCTCGGGATGAGAATACGGCTGGGAGATGGTCCCAAAAGTTCCTACCCAGTGATGCTGGATTCGATTGGACAACCTCATGAAAGGCTAGCTCCTCTTCTCCACTCCATTTCCTTGCAACCTCCTCTCCCATGTTGGAGAATCCCAACTCCTCGTATATCTTCTCCCCAAGGTTTTCCTTTTGTTTAGCTCTGGCTTCCATGATATGCTGCCTCACGCAACTAACAGAACCCCTGTCAAAACAGGTACAGTCGCTTCTGCCTCCCTCGCCTACACAACTATTGTATGCAGGTGATTCCAAATCAGGCATGGGTATGACACAAGTACCCATCAGCTTCTTCCGATAGTCGTCGTCGTCGTCCACAAGACATGAATATGAAGAATGCGCGTACACATGTGCATCTGACTTATTTAAACAGTCAAAATTGTTCTTGAAACCCTGTGGAACCCATTCTGGAATATCTGCTTGATGATCTGGTCCAACAGAAACTAGCTTTCTGGGAGGCTGATCCAGTAGAGTTGAATAGATGTCATCAGGCTGAACTAAAGCCGTTACTCGATGGTCAAGATCAAAATAATTTGGGAAAAATGATAAATAGATTGGTGAATGTGACTCAGAATATTCATCAATAGCTTTGCTGTTGGCACACAAATAACTAGAAATGCTTCCAGAAGCACTGAGTCCAGAATCCCTATCTGCCCCATTCAGATCTTCAGAAACCGAGACACTTGTAATCCTTCCTTCATTTTCAGATTTACCGAAGTTGTTCTCACCTTCACCATCTACATACCAAATTAAGTCAGTGAAAATGGATTGAAGATTATATCCACAGGTTTATTCTGGTCACATGATGCACCCACGGCCAAGAAAAAGTTATAGATAGACAACAATTTTTTATTTTTCTTAAAATACATTACAAATGAACAAATGCAATCATAGTTCAACCCTACAGCTTGAGTATTAGGTGTCGTTTGATAATCCAATTTGGTATTTAATTCTGAATAAATGAAGTGATTCTCCAATTAAGAACATTTAATAACACAATTTGGATATCATCTAAAAGAAAAGGTTGCACTTGAGTGGAGTAAAATTTTAATTAAAGAAGATTTCACTTATGACTGAACACTTAAAATTTCAAACAAGTATCAAAGAAGTTCCCAATTTAAAATTAGTACTTAAATTCATCACTAAACTTATTCCTTTAACTTTTTAGTGCTTATTTTTCAGTTTAATCAAATAGCACTTTAGCTTCACTAAAATGCTTCAGTGCTTAATTTTAATTTTCACTAAAACGTGTTTTATTGTAAATAATATTTCCAATGAATGGTCTGCGTCAAATCTATTGACAAGATATCTAAGATCACAAAATCATCATTTATTGGATGACCAAAAAAAGTTCTACAACAGATCTTCCCAATCATTCAATTAATAAACACAACTAATGTCACGTCCCAGTTATTGATCACTAAGAAATCAGAAATGTTATAAATGCACCTTAGGAAATCTATAGATGATAATCAATCACTAAAATTCTTGGATGTTTGAACATATATGCTTTAGTGAGCATTTCTATGAGCCTTGTTTTTATTCATCTTTTCCTGAAACAGTATATATCTAACAAAAAGTGATAAAAAGGAAGTTGCAAATATTGCAACATACGCTCCACAGAATAGCAAGAATGATAGATTATGAGAGGCCGACCTGTCCTTAACGATAACACTATCACACATTAAAAATAACAGAAATTGACTATTTAACCTGCATGAGGTTTCTGCAGTGTGTTTTTCCAAGGAGAAATTTCAAGGACTGCAGGTTGTTGAGTTGTACATTCTTGTTGTCTTGGGTGCTTACTAGCAACATTGAAAGATTCCTCATCATGAAAAGATCGTTTATAAACCATTTTATCCCTGACAAATAAGACACTTAGAGAGTAAGATAGGATATATAGAGCACGGAAACAGTTCTGGGAGTCTCAGTTTCCACTAAAGAACAAAAAGCAGCAAGCTAAGATCTTTAAAGAAAAAAAGGGAAAAAAACAAATATACTTTTGAAGAATTTTAATCCCAAGAATTCAATCCAGCAATCAATAACGGAATAATTGGACCCAAAACTCAAGGATATCAACAAACAGTATATTAATCTGACTTAAAAATGAAAATGTCATGACCCTCATGCTACTTTATACCATACTGTCCATGTTTTTCCACCAAACTTAAACATGGAACTATTGCAACTTCTGTAGGCCTATGAAAGCTGACAAATGTTGTTCTTATACATCATAGAAAACCCAATATGGGCACTTCACTTGCTTTACAGAATGTAATAAAAGAAGCACAATAAAGAAGTTATATGTACAAATATAAGGCAATTGAATTATTATGCTTGCTAGGTGCATACGTAACAAAACAATTGAATACATATCTCATGCTCATACCCAATTATCATGTGTTGATAAGGTACTTCATGCATAAAGAGCACATATCAGTATATCACTAGTAGAGAAGTATGCTAAAAATAATAATAATAATAATAAATGAGCAATGAGAAATATCTAATGAAATATGTATGTATACATACATATATATATGAGACAATAAAAAACACATGAATGAGATACAAGGGCTAGTTTTACCTCAAATTTGCTTCGAGAAATCACGTCCACCGATGAATTTCAAAAAGAGTACGAAATGATCAAAAATTTAAAATTTAAGGGTTACCGGTTTTAGCAAAACGGAAATTTCAGATCCCTAATTCTGATGAACACAAAATTCAAAAATATAAATCAAAGGAACAGATAAAATAAAGAAAGGGAAAATAATTTTTTTCGAAACACAACTGAAATCTTCAAAGAATAATCGATATATAAAATTTTCAATTGACCCAAAAATATCGTATTATCATCTATAATATACCACCAACTTCAAATTTACAGATCAACCGAAAATTTTGGAAATTAGAAATGAAATAAAGTGTATTAACAACAACAAAAATGACTGATTTAACGATGGCTGTGAAAATTCTCCGAATCGCTTCGAAACCCTAACCCTAGATTCGAATATAGGACACAGATAAGGTGGAATTTAGGATCGATCGATAGGGAAAAGAGCGAATTGAAATAAAAATTAGTTGATTTGAAGATCAAAATAAGATATTTGAAAGAATCTGGATCGATAAGAGATAGGAATCAAATTGGGGGAAGTGACGACGTAGGGAATAGACGGGGCTTCGGTATTTTTATTGTCTGAATATTCGAAGATAGAAATATGCTCGTGTTTAATTCTAATTACTGACAGGGACTCGTTATTTGCTTATAATTACGAAATATGCTACTGTGATTCTAAATCAGGAAAAGGTTGTGTGCTGATTTGTCAATTTGTCATGTGAGAAACAAAAAGCATTGTGCTAAACGATGTCGTTTTGATGAGTATGCCGGGCTCATCAAAACGGTACCATTTTATATGTAAATAATTGTGTTGCATTTTGAATTGTTGGATGTTGTGGGCTTCACAGCTATGCAGTAGCATATACTTGGAGTATAAATTGACTTTGAAGTTTGTAATTAAAGCACCATTTCCAAATTTATATTTACTTATCCTCCTTATATTTGCTAATGATATTGCTACTAATACATTATTTTCGTTGTCATATTATGTAGAGGGAATTGCATTAAATCTCACTTGACTTATATAGTGTTTTAAATTAATTCTTTTTATTTATTTATTTTCATTATTGTTATTATTATTATTCACTTGAATTATATAGTGTTTACTCTCTCACTGGATTGGTCTAGTGGAGGGTAAAAAAACTGACGTGCCAATTGAGTTAAATTCATATTTATCAAATTTTTAATATATACACACAACTTCCGTATGTAACATATCTATTATTTAATGAATTGACTTTCACTTCATGGATCCAATTGGCTAAAATTTGAACATTGAAAATTCTAAAAAAGAATAAAAATCCAGAAAAAAACCTAAAAAGGAATAAGAACCTAAAAAACAACCCAAAACAGAAAAAAGAACTACAAAAAAACGATGCATATATATATTACTTTTTAGTTGCTAATTTTGATTGCCTCAGTGCGCTAACTTTAGTAATATGATTGTCTTGATTTTCTTGACACGTGTATATAAGGAGGGAGGTGGAAAAGGAAAAAAAGAAAAGACAAAAAGGGGAAGAATACCGAATCGTAATAGCGAGAAAAATACAAACAAACAAAACAAAACCTCTCCTCTTTTTTTTTTTTTGTTAAATCCTTTTCTTTAGAATTTAAAGTTAAGAGGTAAGATTTAATTTGTGGTTCAAAAATTAAGGTTAAAGTTATTCAATTCGACTAAATCTTATAACTACTGTTCAAAATTTTCAATTTAAAAAAGTTTTGAGAATTGAGTAATTTGAATCTATCTTTGAAATAAGAGTAAATAAATCCCTAATAACCCATAATTATATGATTTGTTCTTATAATTTTATTTGAGTAGCATATTCTATATACATATTTTAATTTTTATTAAATTATTTTAAAATGAGGTTTCTTTGCCTTTTAAATTTATTTTAAATTTGAGTCGAAAGATAAAGTTAAATTATATAATAATATACTCTTGTATAATATATTGAATAAAATATAGCGTATAATGTAATATTCTTGCACATGATAAAACAAAAATAAATTTCTTTGTTGACTTGATGACAAGATCGCGCTAGAGGGAGGTGACGTTAATCACTTAAATCATGTAAACATATATACAAAGAGCAGTCTTCCATCCTCATATTTCTATTTGTCAAACAGAGTATTATGCTTAATGACAACACAAAGAACTTCATTTGTTCCAAGTAGTTAAAAAACTGAAGATCCAAGTAGTCAAAATAAAGAAAACAACAGCATTTCGATCTTCCAATTCTACCTTGCCTCAGGCTGAAGCTCAACCTGAGGAGGAGGAGTGGCTCAGGTGCATTCTCTAGATGGCAGGAATAGTACGTATAGGTAACCAACTAGTTGGATTATGCTCCAGCCTATACCAACCCAGCTGAGAATCCTGAAAATCTATAAAAATGTAGTAATTATGAGTTAAAGAACACAACAAACCAACCAAGCAAACAAAATAAAATTGAATACTGAATAGTAAATGCTAAACTTTAGACTAATCACTATGTTAAGATCAAATTTAGGTAGGGCATAGATAAGCCACATTATGCCATTTAGCGAGCTTGCTAATGGCGGCCAAAGAGGCATTCCATCAAGATTGTCGTTATGTACAACCTCTCACTGAAAGAAAAAAATGAGTAAAAAAAAAAAAATTCCAAAATGAAAGCTAACAACAACCTGCCACTGAAACTGAGAATTGGGTTAAAAAGGTACAAAATGAAAGCTAACAACCTAGCAAAGTAAGAAAACAGTAAGTATAAAGCTAATGAAAGCTAAACATTACTGGCTTGGTTTACATTTTCAAGCCACTGTCATAAGTTTAATTTGCCTAAAAAAATAAAAATAAAAATAAAAAAAGAGGTTTGATTAATTAATGAAAATGTTGTTCGGAATATTTTCAAATACACAAGAAAGACAACAAACACAATGCAACATCCTTAATTAACAAAAGAACATTCTCGAAAACATACCTATCTTTTTCCCTACACCACTCATTCCCATGAGCTTTTTTGCTCTTCCCAACAAGTAAACCTATAATTTGAGGGGGACAAAAATTAATACTTTTGAAATATGAACATTAATAGTCCAAGTAATTTTATACATAACTTAAGCTAGCATCACAATAATAAGGTTATGTAACATAATAATAACATAAAGAATCATATCGGTCAAGATGATTTCAAATAGTTCATAAAATTAGAAAAACAAACATGTCATTATAGACCTTAAAAGGTCAATTAAAGAAAGAATAAGAGCATGGACATTAGTAAAATTAACTAACTGAGGACTGAGGCGGCATGTTGCTCAATGACCCTTTGATTGGTAGTTGTTAGAGCCAAACCTTCAATCTAACCCTCCAAAAAAAGAAAAAAGAAAAAAGAAAAACTCCACCCCAGCGCTCTCTCTCTCACTTCCACTTCGCCGTCAACCACCACTGAGGTAGCTGCAAAAATTAGGGTTTGCAATAGACTTTTATACAAGCCTATGTAAAAACTACATACTTATATATAATCTTCTAAATAACAAATGTACAAAAATCACATTTATATATATATAATTGGACTTGAAATGATTTTTTTGCCCGGTAATTTGTTATGTAATGTTTGGTGTTCAATTCCAAACGCTGCCTTCAGTAAATCGACTGACCTAGAAAACTCAGATTCACACCCAATAAAAGTCCTACTAGTATTAATTTAGGCCATCTACATAATACATATATATATAATTATGGCCCTATTCATAATAACTCTTGACCACGGGACCCATCTCACCCGACTCTCTATTTAAAGAGGTCATCGCCTCCACCGTCTGATTAGAGCCCTTTTCCGTCAATCACAAAAACAGGATCTGCTCGTAGGTGTGAACTGGGTCGAGAACTGGGGGTGGTGATGTGCACAAATGAGGAGGTGAGAAGAAAAAGAGGGATTGGAGTTCTTTTTTCCTCCAAATCAAGTGTAATGGGGTGATTGGTGGTGGTGATGTGTGCGCGCGCGCGCGCGTGTATATATATATATATATATAGAGAGAGAGAGAGAGAGGGTTCTCAGATGGGTTATACCTGTTAGGTTTGTTAGGGTTAGGGTTTGAGAGAAGGGGGGGAGAAAAGACTGAGGAGAGGAAAATTGGGTTTCTCAGATGGGTTGTACCCGATGACCCAGTTAAAATATTTCATCAAGGGTATTTAAGACAATAAAAATAGGCGAACTTGTATATGTCTGTCCTTACCCCAAAGTATAAACCTCAGAGGGTGTCATTGTACTTACCCAAAGTTTTAATAACTAGAGCAACACTCATCCAGCTCCAAGCCTCAAATTACTATCATGATATTGTGGATAAAATAAGCAAAAATCGAATTTTATATAGAATTATATAATATATTATGTTTTATTCGGAACGTATTTGGGTCCCTTTTTTATATTTGTCCAATTGCCATGTTTGTATCATGTCTTGCTTGTGCCCATGTCCATATTTGTGCTTCATAACTTTTTATTCACAAACCAATATAAAATGTATAGCTAAATGTTTCAAAAAGAAGAAAATGTAGAACAATAAAACAAATATCCGAATATATAATGACTTAAAGAAAATTAGGGCTGGCGACCAGTCGTGTTAAAATAAGGGTATTCAGTTAAATGCGCCAACCCGAACACAACCCTGTCAAACACCCCTCACATGACATGTTAATTAAACGGGTAACCGACTTTTGTTTAGGGGGGAAAAAATTTTAAACAGGTAACTGGAATCAACCTTGTAACCTATTTTTTTAACTAAAAAAAAAAAAACCTTGTAACCTATTTTAACGAATGAGTAGTAATACCTACACAACAACAAAAAGCATTTAATAATTTATTTAATTTTTTAATATATTTAATATTTTATCTGAATTAAAAAAACGAAAAATAAATTTTGAATTAAAAAAACTATGCAATAAATATTTCATTTAACATCAATAAATCACACAAGGACATCACTGTAGTATCATACTAATTTAATTCTATTACCTATCATACAAGTTAAAACATATAATTGAAATTCCCAAAGTATATATGTATATATACACACACATATGAGGAGGTATTAGTATATTACCACTGCAACCTTAGCACCAAGACGCTTGTAAGAATTTGTGGCATTTTTATGAAGTGCACGAGAAATGTATCGCTCATAGTCGCCCCTAAAGCTGAAAAATAGATTTAATAAAATAAAAAATAAAAAACACTAGGAAACCAGATGAGCAAAGATTAAAATAATTACCTCTTCCAGTCACCAAATAGATCCGGACAACAAATCTTTAGAAGGCCCCATAATTCCTGTTAGGAAAAATAAAAAGAGCAGTCTTCAACTCCTGGTTTTGTAAACGAATAAAATAAAAAATGACAAACAAACAAGAAGTCGGCTATACATATAGATTATTTTGTATTGGCGCGCCAGTGACAGCCGTGCAGATGTCACAAGGAATTGCAAGCAAACCCGTCGCCTTTTTTCACTTAAGATTCTTTACTTTGTGCGCCTAAAGAAAAACATGGAATCTACATTTAACATCTCAAATTCAAACTGGAAACTAAATACTAAATTGATCGTTTTACCTCGTCGAGAAACATATAGTCCCATTTCACTTCACTAAAAGCTTCTACATTAAAAAGTGCACGTATTAATGCATGTGACGGAAAATCAAATTGATTATGCCGCCACTACCACTTATTTTCATGAGGATGACAATGATAAATGATGATAGATAGTTTAATAACAAGATGATAGCAAATATCTACCTCTTTGTCAAAGATGATGCACAATTTATCCCACGAAAGATAAACAAATTGAGGGTAGAAACACTAATGTAGCAGCACCATCTTAAATTTTGTTCGCATCTCACGAAACTTCAATCAATGTATAGTCTTATGAAAAACAAAGAAAAAAAATAACAATCTCGCATGAAACAAAAATATCCTAAAAGGTAAGCTGTCCAGACATAATTCAAAAATACTTTTATAGTAATTTTATCCCAAAATGGAGTCGAGGGACGAATGGTTACCACCCCTGATTATTGTTTAACAAAGCAAGCCACTTGTTTCCTCCTAATTATTACTTGATTTACCACACAATAGAACGAAGGGAATAATGGTCTTTAAAGGTGACTAAGAAATGAAATTTCATATCAGTGTAATTATATTTCCTAGCATATAATTCACTTTAACCTTTCAAAAACTTAAATTTTAACATTCCTAAATACACATACATGGTTTGTTCTCTTAATTTTATCTTTCACCTTGAGAAAGTCTTTTAATATTTATATTTCCAATTGGGATCCTTAGTTATTCTAATAAATTTGTTTGCTTAATCCATTAATTAACACAAAAAATCACACCCAAAAAAATAAATAAATAAATAAAAGGGAAAGAGATTGATTATAAAGAACCAAACATGAAAGGAATGTGTTATTCTATTATTATTTTTTCCTAGTTGATTAATGTTTATTTTAATATCTAGCACTCACATATTATGTACACGACTTCAACCCAATTAGAAAACCAAACACAACCAAACAAAACATTATAACTATACAATCCATAAACCAATATAAAATAAAATATCTTAATAAAACAGTAAGTATAAAGCTAATTAAAGTTAAACATTACTAGCTTGGTTTATGTCGGACACTATAGTTTCACTCCTACTACGAGATCAATAACTTTATTTGTCCACGATGGTACAGGATACATAAGAAGCACATTTTCAAGCCACATCATAGTTTAATTTGCCCAAAAAAAAAAAATTAAAGGCTTGATTAATTAATGAAAATGTTGTTTGGAATATTTTCAAATACATAAGAAAGGCAACAAATACAATGCAGCATCCTTAATTAACAAAAGAACATTCTCGAAAACATACCTATATTTTCCCCTACACCACTCATTCCCATGAGCTTTTTTCTCTTCCCAACAATTAAACCTATAATTTGAGGGGGGCAAAAATTAATACTTTTGAAATATGAACATTAATAGTTAAAGTATTTTTATGCATAACTTAAGCTAGCATCACAAAAATAAGGTTATGTAACATAATAATAACATGAAGAATCATATCGCTCGAGATGATTTCAAATAGTTCATAAAATTAGAAAACCAAGCATGTCATTATAGACCTTAAAGAAAGAATAAGAGCATGGACATTAGTAAAATTAACCACCTCAGGACTGAGGAGGCATGTTGCTCAACGACCCTTTGATTGGTAGTTGTTAGAGCCAAACCTTCAATCTAACCCTCCAAAAAAAAAAAAAAAAAAAACTCCACCCCAGCTCTCTCTCTCTCTCTCTCTCTCTGGCACTTCCACTTCGCCGTCAACCACCACTGAGGAAGAGAGGCAGCTGCAAAAATTAGGGTTTGCAAGCCTATATAAAAACTACGTACTTATATATAATCTAAGAAATGTATAAAAATCACATTTATATATAAAACATTGGACTTGAAATGATTTTTTTTGCCCTGGAATTTGTGATGTAATATTTGGTGTTCAATTCCAAACGCTGCCTTCAGTAAATCGACTGACCAAGAAAACTCAGATTCACACCCAATAAAACTCCTATTAATTTAGGCTATCTACATAATACATATATATATACACACACATACAGTTCCTCATTCAGTTTTTTATTTTATTTTTTTATTAATGGGTAGTTCTTGGTTTAACATGTAAGTAGGTGTACCTGAGTGACGATTTGACCGGTGGTTCGTCGGAGAAGTCGAACAGCTTCACTCGCAACGACGAACAGCTTTGAATCGCTTGCCAGAAAATAGCAAATCTCTCTCTGTGTATTTCTTTTTACACCGCCTGTTTCTTTCACTCTCTGTAAATATTGACCACCAAAATATCTGTCTGTAGTTTGTGGCTGAAAATCCATTTGGTGTAACGACCAGCTGTGGATAAGTATGAGTGAGTGAGTCCCTATGTGTGTCACTGTGTACAAAAACTTTTGGTGCGAGTGAGTTGTAAGTTGTTGGATACTCCATAAAATTTGAAAACTTCTCAAATAGGACAACTATATTAAGACTAATTGAGTAATAAAAAAATAACAATAAATAAATTCATGAAAAATACAACTTTTGCATGTACCTTCCTTTGCAAACTCAAAAATCATAAAAAAAGTATTATTAAGTGGTGTGATATAAGTTTTCTTTTATTAGTTTATCATGATTATAAAAAATTATAATTAAATTTGAAACACATAGTTGTTATAGATAGATAGATATATAATCAATGAAAAAGAGAAAAAGAGAAAAAAAGAAAGAAACTAAAATTTGTAACACATATATGAAGCACATGGTTGAAAAAAAGAAAGAAACTACATCAGTGCGAAAGCGGCTAAAATTTTGCATTAATCAAAAACAAAAAGCTCTCAAAAACAAGATTAAATGTATATAATACATCTAAAGTGCCCACTTGGGAGATTATGCCGTCGTTTTAATTTATTCTGTAAATATTAAAGCGAATTACTGAAAAGACTCTTACATTTGTACTTTTTTTCAATATACTCCAATATCTAATTTTTACCTTTACCAAAGAACCCCCAGCCATCCCAAAGAGAAATAAGAGTTGATACTTCAACCACAATACTCTTTTATTTAAATTCTAATTATACCTAACTTTAAAATTTTATACCTCACAAATTGTATATCGAAATATTACAAATAATATAGAGTTAATTTCACCTAGACCCCTGAGGTTAGCGCATATTTCACCTAGATGGAGATTTAGTTTTTAGCAACTACTTAAACCCCAATTAGTGGCTTAACATTTTACTTCTACTCCAAATGTCAATTTTTGGTATTAAATAATTATGTTACCCTTTGACCCCGTGTTGACTATTTTTTGTGACTAAACTGGCCTCAACACACATTTCCTCTTCCTCCTCTCAGTCAATCATCCTAATTAACCAACACCATCTTCTCTTGGGGAAGTGAGGCTAGAGTGTAGATTGGCAAAGTGAGACCTCTCTAATATTTGTGAAGAGAGAAAGAGAGTGATTCACATATATAAAGAGAGAGAATGATTCACATATATGGAGAGAGAGAGAGGAGTCCAATAAATAGAACAGGGGAGGCGAATATAGGTCGATGGTTGAGAGGGTTAGGAGATCGGTTTGGCCGTGCATGACTAGCGGCGTCTCAGATGACAGCGATGACGTGGTCGGGCGGTGGCTGTGGATGAACTGCAACTGTGCACCAATGAGTCTGACCGGCAAGGATGAGGGACCTCGGCGATGGATGGGATGACTAAATCGGCGGCCAGCAAATGGGATGGACTCTCGGTAGTCAGCTGTGAAATCGAAATGGCTAGGATGAAGGAGCTTGGCTATGGACGGGATGACTGAATCTTGAACTTGCCGCTGCCATCATCCGAAGCAACAAGCTCGCCATCATCCGGACAGTCCCTGAGCTTGGGTTTTCTGCAACGTGAGAACTTCTCGACATAGATAATCGAGAGCATATCGTCGGAGGACCTCCAACCGACGGTCAAGATCTGCATCGACAATCACCAATCGCCGTCGATCGCGGTAAAGAGGACCTCCAACACGCCGTGACTACTCTTCTCAAGAAGATGTCGATCGGCTCGTGTGGCGCAATTTCAGCAATGGGGTGCTGAGCTTGTCTTTGCCATGGTTTGAGTCCGATTCCGGTTCGGATTCGTTTCCGGCGGGGTTTGTTGGGTCTTATGGGTCTCGGTGGCAGCCATCGTTGCCGAGTTTGGGTTCGATTTGCAAGCTGTGGATTGTTGATTTTTTATTTTTATTATTATTTTTTATTTTTTATTTTTTTTCTTCTTGTGGATTGTTGATTACATGGTCTGATTTTGTGAATTGGGGCATTGATTGTGGGGTTGTGATTGGGTGTAAGATTTGGTTTGTTTGATTGATTACAGAGGTGGTGGTTTGTGGGTGTTTATGCACTTTTTGAGGTGGTGTGATTGTGGTTGAAGGGGGTGAGTGAGAGAGACCGTAGCCGCAGACGAGAGAGATGAAAGAAGGGCGTTTATGTCATTTAAAATTAAAGATATTTTGTAATATTAAAATTTTGAGGGTAAAAAGGTCCATTCGCATGTGTTTGAGGCCAAAAATCAAATTGGTGTCTAAGTGGTCGCTAAAAATCAAATCTCTATCCAGGTGAAATATGTGTTAACCTCAGGGGGTCTAGGTGAAATTAACCCAATAATATATGCACGAAAAGCTTATAAAATAAAGATTTTATAAATATAAGATTTGTTCAACAAAGCATCAGAGAAATAGATAATTTAAAAATCTACTGCAATAATTTTATTTTATTTAATTTTTTTTAAAAAATACTCTAATTATTTTTAAAAAAAATTCAAAATTATTCTTTTGAATATGTAGCATAACATATAAAAAAATTAGCCCCGACACTCTCTTGAAACATTAGATCCGGTTAAATACTCTCTTTAACCTCTTCAACCAATAAGATTTACATTGTCGATCAATACAAGTATTCCAAAAAGCATGCATTATATGTACTACTAGTAACATTAGCATACATTGATCAATACAAGTATTCCAAAAAGCATACATTATATATACTACTAGTAAGAAGGACAAGTCTCATATGAACAAGACCCAAAGCCTAACAAGTGAAGCCAAGACAAAGATGGTCAAGTCCCATATGAACAAGACCTAAAGCCTAACATGTGAAGCCAAGACAAAGAAGGGCAAGTCTCATATGAAAAGACCCAAAGGCTAACATGTAAAGCTAAGACAAAGATGGTCAAGTTTCATATCAACAAGACTCAAAGCCAAACATGTGAAGAATGATATTAGCTTTATCAGTGATGATCATAAACACTGACGACTACTTGTTAAAGTGTTCTTCACATAGAGACCAAAATCCCACAGCAACAACTCACATGATGAAAACCTTCCATCCTCCAGATATCGTAAAATCAAAGACATCAAGAGATCTCTGAACACACAACAAGAACACGCACACACAACACACACTAATAACTCACTCTTCCATGAACCCTTCACAAGCAGTAACACAAAATTAAAGTCATCCAGAGATCTCTAAGCATACAACAGATAGACATACAACATAGTAAAAAAAGAATCTGTATCAAGCAGCAGCAGCAGCATAATATTCTTCTTCCAAAAAGCCGCATCTAATTCAAGAACATAAAGTCAGATATGCATTCAAGGAAAATTCAAGCCAACCTTGTCCAGCCATACAGATTAATAGAGTTCGATAAATATGGTCGAACTGTCTTAAAACAACAAGGGAATGGCTATTACAGTAAGTAGTAGCAAAACACTGTTGAATCAGTTGAGTTGAAAATAATATCAAACAATTTAGAGATGCACCAGAGAGTAGCCGCAGATCTCATCACCTTTATGATAAATCAATGACCAAACTCGTCTTTGGATAATAAGCTAAGTAGTGCCAAAAAAAAAGTAGTTTCTTCTTCCTTGGGAACTCAATCCAACACCAAACAAATTAAACAACAGTTAACTGGTAGAGCAAATGAGATATAGAATTTGAATTCTTGAATCTTACCAAAAATATAAAAAAATAGACTGAATTTCTAAAAAATCACCAATTAATAGCAGATTAAACCAAACAAATCAAGTTCTATTAGAAAACAACTAACAGGCAGTAGGTAATATCACTGGATACAATGTAAGGTAAAACACAAAGCCTCTTATTTTGACCAAAATGGTAAGACCACCAATCATCCTCTTGACTAACCAAAAATAAGAAGCATCGGAAATCCCACTGATTGCCTTAAAGCTATAGAGTCTAGCTGATTTCATGACAAGCCACCTGATCAAAGGATCTCCATTATGCCACAGCAGGCATGTCCTTGAGCCATGCATCCAGAGGCTTACCAATTGAGTACACAATGAAACCAATCTCCCTCAGTTTATCAGCGTTCACGATGTTCCTGCCATCAAAAATAAAAGCTGGTTTCTGCATGTTATCATATATCTTCTGGTAATCAAGAGTCTTGAACTCATCCCACTCAGTAAGAATGCAAACACCGTGAGCATCCTTTGTTGCCGTGTAGGCATCCCAAACAACACTCACTTGCTTCACAGTAGTGGGACTCATTGGCTGGAGGTGAAGGGGATGGTCCCAATCAAACTTGTTCATTGTAAGGTCCCTCTGAATCTGGTCCTCAGTGACCTGCGGATCATATATGCTCAACCGGGCCTTGTCACCCAACAGCCCCTTGCACACATCAATAGCAGGGGTCTCCCGGGTGTCTCCAGTGTCCTTCTTAAAGGCAAACCCTAGAATGGCAATCTTCTTGCTTGAAACTGTGTTAAACATAGAGGCAACAATACGGTTCACAAATCGGTTCTTCTGATAATCATTAATCTTAATGACTTGTTTCCAGTACTCTGCCACCTCTGGAAGGCCATTACACTCACAAATGTAAATCAGGTTCAAAATATCCTTCTGGAAGCAAGACCCACCAAAACCAACACTAGCATTCAAGAACTTGGGCCCAATCCTTGTGTCCGTACCAACAGCATATGACACCTGTGCGACATCTGCTCCAGTAGCCTCACAGAGAGCAGACATGGCATTAACAGATGAGATTCTTTGGGCCAGGAAAGCATTGGCTGCAAGCTTTGACAGTTCTGCTGACCATAGATTTGTGCATATGATTCGGTCTTCAGGAACCCAGTGGGCATAAACATCCTTCAATGTTTTGATTGCCTTCTGGCCTTCTGGGGTCTCCCTACCTCCAATGAGGACCCGGTCAGGATTAAAAAGATCTTTGATTGCAGTTCCCTCTGCAAGGAATTCAGGGTTTGATAGAATCTGAAAGCTAATTCCCTTGCTGTTGTGGGTTAGAATTTTCTCAATTGCCTCAGCTGTTTTGACAGGGACCGTTGATTTCTCAACTACAATTTTGTTAGATTTTGACACATCAGCAATCATACGGGCTGCGCTTTCCCAGTATGTCAGATCTGCAGCTTTTCCTGCTCCAAGGCCCCGAGTCTTTGTTGGGGTGTTGACAGAAACAAAGACAATATCAGCCTCACAGACATGCTTCTCCACGTCAGTGCTGAAGAAGAGATTCTTACCCCGGCACTGCTTCACCACATCGTCAAGGCCAGGCTCGTAGATGGGAAGCTGCTCACTGTTCCAGGCTGTGATACGAGCAACAGAAATATCAACAACGGCAACTTCAATGGATGGGCACTTAAGTGCTATCACAGCCATGGTAGGACCCCCAACATAGCCAGCCCCAATGCAGCAAATCTTCACCATTTTCCTTTTCTATCTGCAACCTGGACAAAGAGATTCAAATATTAGAAAACATAACATTGCAGATAAACCAAGTAGTGTGGACTAACATTAAAAATAAATAAATAAATAAAGAAAGAAAGAGAGAGAGAGATCCAGGACGAAGTCTACTTTTTCGCATGTTGGAGGAAAAAATCAAATTCATAATTGAACCAAAAAATTCATATGATTGCGCAAAATGCAGTCTCCTGCTTTGAATTCTTTTTTGTGTTTTATGCAGTCTCCAGCTTTGGGAATATATGCTAGCGAATTGTATCTATATATAATTTCATATCATGCATTGCTCCAATCTTAATAGTAACTTCAAAAGTATAGAAGCCTAATTTCCCAAAGCCTTTCTCGAAAATCCACAATCCTAATATGCTAACAGTGTCATCCGTCCATGCCTGCAAACATTTATCTGTTAAGAGCTCAATTTTTTTGACAAGCATTACTGAAGGTGGTGTACACTTGGGAAACATAACTAATGAAATGTGGACAGGTGCTTTGTGCGGTGTCAGTTGCAGAGAATGTCAAGTGTCCCTATTGGCCCCTTTCTCCCTCTCATCAAATATGTAAGTACTTACTAATTAACGCAAAAATGAAAAGAAAAAAAAAATGAAAAAAAAAAGAAAACAAAAGAGTAAAGTTTTTTAAGGTCTTGTTTGGCAATTGCTTATGTTTTGAGTGTTGATTTTTTTGGTTCTGTTTTATTTTTTATTTTCTTAAGTGAAGCAAGATAGGGAAGCGTGTTTGATAACGCAGCGATTTCAATAGTATCGAAACTATTTTTTAAAAAAGACTAAAACCAAAAGTTCCAAGTTGGTGTTTAAGATTGCTTTTTCACTGTAGCAATGAAACTTACAACACTTCTTAAATGACTTTTCTAACTAGTCATTTTATTTTTTAATATTTTTTAAATTCCAAAGAATGTAGAATCAATGAAATAAATCTAGATTCAATTTTAAAAAAGGAAAGGTATAATAATTTTCAGAGCACATCAATAGAACAGAAGAATAATACTCTACTCGGATACATCTAATGACATAGAAACAAAACTAATAAATAGGTGTTCAACACAAATTCAGGAGAAGAAAGAGAGAACAGCTCGCTGAAACCAGGAATGACAATTAATATAACTAAAACAAACCAAATACGCATGGACACCATTGTTGATTAGCTTGAGATTTGGGCATAAGCAACAGATCGAGAGCAATTCAGCTAAAACAATACAATAAAACCAGAAATTGAATGAGGAACACTAGAATTCCCTAATACATCATTAATTATCACAATCTCAAACAGATCTACCACGAAATCACTTGAATTATAGCTCCATTATGATTATTGAACACCTGGACCCTAATTCAGCCACACTATATCCAGATCGAGGTATAAACAATGCAAGCGTCAACAGATCTGAAGATTCCACCGAAAATACAAAAACATTGAAAGAAATCTCTTGATCCAAATCATCAATAACACAACAAAACACGTAATTAAACAGAGAATTGAGCAATAATCATTCAGTAAATTTCACCAAAAAGATTAAATCTCTGAATTAAAACCTATATATATATATATATATAAACAAATACAATGAATCAAGATCCAAAGTCACTTATACAGTAGAATAAAGTGAAAATTCAAGATCAAATACCTTACAGATCGCTCCTGAAGAGAAGATGTAGAGAGAGAGTGGAGCTGGTTGTGTAACGATATGAAAACACGAGGGAGCGGGCATCTCCTTAAATAGCGTTGGACATTCCAGATCTACCCTTTGGATTTAAGTTAAAGACGGAAAAATCCAAAGTTTGTACCGTTTTGATGTGGAAAGCTGAACGCGTCGACAACACACGTTTAGTTTATTAGAAAATGAAGAGATGGAGGTAGGGGTAAAAATGTGAAAACGGTGTCGGACGGACGTTTTTGTTAGTGAAAGCCAAATTGACAAAAATACCCACGTAGCCGTGTAGTGGGAATAGAGAAATAGAATATATATACGTTTAGAATCTTCAGGCTGTATATATATACGTATGAAAGTTATATTCCACGCGGTTTTCCCGTTGGTGCACGCACTGTAACCCATGATGAAAGAGTCGGTGGCGGTGGTCAGGTCAACACTCATTGCCATAGGTGGGTTGGACCATGGGTTTGAGCCGCTTGGAATGTGATCAATTTTGGTTTCAACTTTGCTCACCCTTAAAACCAAGACAATTTTTTTTTTTTCCTTAGAAAACACGTATGAACCCCGTAACACACAATTTAAGTTAGGAATGCGGTTTGAAAGCGAGATCATAATAATTTACCTTTCGGATCCATGCCAACGCCACTATACCCGTGGGAACAAAATAAAACACTGTTTTTTTGGATAGAGAATAGAGATTTTAATGATGAGTGATAACATGGTATTTAAATTTTGTCCTATTTAATATTTTGAGAGTTTCAACTCTCAATAAATTGTTATTCATAACGGTGCATTGTATGCAAACGGTGCAAATATATGAGAAATTGATCGTGAATGTGAAAATGATTGCGAGTATTTCTAAGAATTAGTCCCAATTTTAAAGGGGTCATCATATAAGAGTGTTCAAATTTAGTTCAAACGTTACTAGTTAACCTTGAGCTCAATTAAACTCATTTTCAGCACAAGCTCAAACTAAAGCTTAAAATTCTTAGTATTACATATACTATGTAAATCCAAACTATACATAATTAAAGAAGTCTCGAGCTGGTTCATAAACGCCACCCGTTCATGAATATGTTTACAAATTAACACAGTTGAATTATGAATTATTCAAGTTCAGTTCGTTCATCAAAAAAGTTTAAGACGCAAGTTGAAAGTTGTTCATAAATTATTCAATTAATTTGTAACCCTATCTAACAATTATTTATTTGGATAAAATAATTTCCAATTCAAAGTCTTTTATTACTCTAAATTGTTCAATTTTGGTAAATCTTAATCATGTAATAAAATTTGATTTTGTTTATTTATTCAACTAGCTTCAAATTAATTCCTTAGAGAGAGAGAGAGAAATGGTTTATATTTTGTGGGAGAAAACAAGTCATTACATCCAATTTTACATCCAAGTCAATGCTAAATTGATCTTTGTCATATCCATTCATTGAGCTAAAATAATTAGATATTGTAATATATATATATATATATATATATATATATATATATATAATAATTAGATAATTTTGGGCCTTGTAAGATGTAGAAAATTTGACCGTTATACTGACATGAGTCACAGACATTGTTAGCTGTATGTTCATAGTAATAAGTAGAGTCGCGATTAAAAAGGTGAAATGATAATTACTAAAACACACACTCAATTAACATCAAAGATCTCACCAATAATAAAAGGATTTGAAAATCACAGTCTACCATTTGTAAAATCATGTAGACCCTTAACAAAGTCATGTCTTGAGTCTTGGCCACCACACCTAGACTAGTGTGAACATCTTTTTTGTCATATACATTCATTATTGATATAAATTAGATAGTAGATTGTTTTTCCTTGTTGTTATAGAAAAACAACCTAAATTTTGATTTATTTATTTATTTATTTATTCTCTTTATAGCATGTGCCATATAAACACTATAACTACATCAATGTTGGTGAGTATAAAGAGAAACTTCAAATGTAAGGCTTAACTTGCTTGTGGGATCAAAAAGATTGTTGAGTGAGATCCAAGACATGATTAAATAATGACATTTGTGAAAGCCAAGACTGAAAGAAGAAATCATTAGAGAAAAAAAAAAAAAAAAAAAAAAAAAAATGCAAAAAGGTTACTTTAATGATGATTCATGAATATGCCCACATCTGCGCATAGAAAGAGAATTGAATGAATAAAGCGATTATAGATTTATAATCTCAGGTAGAAAAACAAAGAGGAAATAATTTAAAACGATAGTTTGGTATGATGTTTCATAGTTCCAAAAAAATAAAAAAGTGATGTTAATTACAACTTCTATAATTAGTTTTTCAATTAATTACAGGTGCGACTGAGAAAGACATATTCTCTTGAGCACATCTCTCTCATGTTCTCTCAAAAACTAATATGAGGGTTAATATTAAGACACGTTATTTGTCAGATATCCCTCTCCCTCTTTGTCTCTCTTCAACTTCTCTCTCTAAATTTTAGATACAATAACAAAATTTTCTCTTTCCTTTCAGTAACTTTCATACCCAAATTTCACTTACTGAAATCCGCCGCCGTAATATATACACATATATAAATAAAAGAAAAAAAAATGATTAATTCTGGAAATAAAAAAAGGAATGGAGTCTGCAACAATTTTTCGGTAAGATTAGGCGACATTCGGGAGAGGAAGGTTGAGATTGATGTTGATGAACTTCCTCACGCCGCAATGGATTCCTTGATTGATTTTTTCATTTATTAATTTGTTCTCGTTTATTTATTTATTGATTTATTTTGTGTTTTACTCAATGTATATTTATGATTATACATAGATACCTCAAAATTCGGAGTATTTTGTGATACCCCCTAATTTCGGAACACGGGTTGATCAAGTCCGCGCACAAAATCAGGGGATATCAAAAGAATTAAAGTAGTTAAACAAGCACAGAGTACAAAAAGAAATAAAAAGAATAAATAATACGCTGAAGAAAACTAATAAATAAAACTTCCATTAATAACTTGTCAATGGTTACAACTCGGGAATCCGTAACTCAAGGACCCCTTAACCAAAATCCACTATCCATAAATTCATTAATAATTACTAAAGTAATACTATCCTACTTTGAAATAAAATAGGAAGAATAGATAAGTCCTCCAGCTGCGGATACTCAACCTTGAGACTTGAACTGCTAATAACCTGAAAAATAAATCGCGGGTTAAACTCTACGAGCAAGTTCTTTCTACCAGACCTCTGAAAACCAATAAATAGATCATCTCTGATAAAAAACAAACCTAATACAGTCTTTATCTTTAATGTACATAATTATATACAATATAACTATCACAACTATTACCAAGTTCATTAATTCCAAAACCATTATCAATGATTAATTAATAATCATACCTGGTCCTATCCACAATTTCTTTTAAAGAAACTCCTCTAACCTTAACTCCATCCTAGACAGCAATTTAATAATTTAAACTATAAAGTATAATTAAAAGAACATTATATCCAATTCCAAAACCAATAATGATCATAAGTATTTAAATCACACGGTCAATATCTAGACTTTGACAAATCATCCATGTCACTACCAGTATTATTTTATTAATTTGTATAAACTAATACGCTAACCTGTAAGTATTAGATTATTCTACTTTAAGAATATCTAATCATAATCCAACTTACACAGACAGTAATTATAGATGATATATTTTAATCATCTAACACACAACAATATAATTAAATTTTGACAAATCAACCATGCCATTATAAATATATTTGTTTATATATTAGCAATTCATCCATGCCTCCTTAAGTATGTTTATTTATACATTGGTAAATCAACCATGCCTCCATAAGTATATTTATTTACACATTTGGCAAATCAACCATGCCATTATAAATATATTTATTTATACATTGGCAACTCAACCATGCCTCCTTTAAGTATATATATTTATACTTTTAAATTAACAATTCAACTATGCCTTCTGTGTATGTATTTCATTCATACAAATACTTAGGCAAAATATTTACGCCTATGGTAACTTATCCATGCCTACAATTTAATCATGTACCGATTTTAAACTTAACGATGATCTAACTCACACATAAACATCCCACGCATATCATACGCATAATATTAATTTAATAACCAACCTAATATGATTTAATCAACCGTAACATTATACCAAATAAGAATAATAATCTTACATGATACATATACATACATATATATATTGTATAATATACATATGTAACACCATTCACAACAATATTTGATTATTTAAATCACATACATACATATATATATATATATATATATATATATATATATATATACTTCCTTCCGTAATAAATTATTAATTAATTATATTACTCCAATATATGCTACTAAATATAGTAGTAACACTCCCCAACTCTCAAAGCCCTAGTAATCTCTCTTATAGTGTTCGCTTTCAACCCTAATGAGTTTAAAGTCAATTCTTGGGCATCACTGGACCCCATTGGAACTTTCCAGGACCCCACACGCCTCTCCACACGCCCCCACGCGCCACCACACGCGCCTAAACACACTACACGCGCATCCACGCGCCACCACAAGCTGGCAGGTATCTTCACGCGCTTCCACGCGCGGTACACGCGCCTGTTCTTCATTCTGGATGACGTGGCTGCTTCTGGTTGGCTAGAACTCTGGGCTTTAGTGAGCTGCGTCATACTGGATTATTTGTATGTTGACTGGACCAAGTCAACGGTCCAGATTCACACACACATAGAGCTCCATGCGCCGCGATGCACCGGATCTCTTCTTTGTTGATGAGATCGATCCAAGGGCCTAGATTAATGGTGCATTGAATCTCCATGTATCTCTACCACACTGGATTATTTCAATTATATCAAACTAATTGTATGGCCTAGATCTGCGGTTGTTCTAACTTTCTATGTACGTGAAGACACCGGATAACACCCCAGTTGTAGCAGTTACGTAACAATGCATAAAAAATATATATAAAAAAATTAAAATAAATTCCAGAATATTCCGGAAAAATACAAAACACATTATAAAAAAATTCTAAAAATCTAGAAAAATTCCAGAATATTCCA